GCTAAGCAATGTGGTTGTTAAGTGAATTGTGCCTGATTTTACAATTGTTTTTGCCGTGGTCATTAAGCAAATCATCATGGTTGTTAAGCAAATCACGTGGTCGTTAAGCAAATCCAGCTTCCCCCATTGACTTTGCTTGTTGGAAGCCCCTTGGGAAGGTTGCAAATGGCAATCACATGACCCCAGGATACTGCAATTGTTGTAAATACATGCCAGTTGCCAAGCACCTGAATTTTGACCAGGGGGACACTGAGATGGTCATAAGTGTGAGGACTGGTTGTAAGTCATTTTTTTCAGTGCTGTTGTAACTTCAGTCATTTAATGAATGGCTATAAGTTGAGGACTACCTGTATTGGGGCAAATCAGTGGCCTTTGCTTGCATTGGGACATTGTTGCTTTGGATACAATTTAAATCTAGTTAAAGGACACCACTATTCCAAATCACATCTTTCAGAAGATGTTCATCTACTAATTCTGCAATAGTAGATAAATGTATATAGCTAGTCTAAATAATACTGATTTAAGTGAGAAAGGTTGGCAGGTTTTTAAAATGGCAGGTCTTTAAAAAGATTTTAATTTATTTGTCTGACTTATATATCTCTCATTTTCTCTAAAAGTTGTGTGAAACTTGATGGTATTGAAGCCAAGAAAGAACCAGAGTTATTCTTGAATGAGGAAGAAGATGAGAGTGAAGAGATGGTAACTTTAATTATTGAAGAACCCAAAGAAAAATGGGATTGTGAATCCATTTTAAGTGAGTATTTATTCATTTAATCACATTTGTATAGCTGGCCATCTCACATAGTAACTCTGGGCGGCATACATAATAATAATAATCAAGAATATATAAAAACCTTTAAAATAACCAATTTAAATTAAAATAAAAACAAGATAAAAACAAATAAAAAACAAAATGGCAGGAAAACATACAGAGAGTGTATTCCATTAACTCTCATACAACCATCTAACAGGCTTCACTCTACCATGGGATCCCCAAGTTAGTTGACAAATCCATGTTTTAAGGGCCTTCCGGAAGGCCAACAGGGTTGGGGCCAACCTCACCTTAGGAAGAGTGATGTTCCAAAGGGCAGGGGCTGTGGCAGAAAAGGCTTTCTTCCTAGGTCCTGCCTATCAGCAATCCCAGGTAGACCAGACAGGAAACATGGCCAGATGAGCTAATTCTACTTTGTTGTAAGGCTACATTGACAGAATCTTGCAAGTCTGATAGTAGAAATCTCCTGCTGTCTCTTTTACCGCCTGAGAAGTTAGGGAGGTTCCTTTCAGAGTCTCTTCCTCTTCCCATTACGCAGCTGCAGGCTATGCCCTCTCTTATCTGATTGTTCCCTAGGCAGTGTCTCTTGGCCCATTCTCCCAAGGTCATTCCTACATACCATTACAGGAGTTCATGGCCACCATGACAACCATGGGCCTATCCCAGGTCACCCAGTGCCTGACATGGGACAGTGGTCACACACCTGATCTGGTTTTCTTGTCACAGCAGTGGCAAAGTAATCTGGAATTGGGGGAGTTCTCTGTGGCTCCTCTGTCATGGTCAGATCATATCCTGGTAACCATGAGATTCTCTGGCAACGCCTCCCACTGCAGGGAGGCTGGACCTATTAGATCAGTCTGCCCCCAACAACTGATGGTCCCAGAAGGGTTCCAGAGGGAGGTGGGGGTTGTTCCTGAAGGTGTGCTGCACGGCCTGGCCAAGGCTCTGATCATCACTTGGAATAAGAGGGTACCTGAGGCTTTGGACCAAATCACACCCATGCAACCTCTCCCAGCCCATGGATCTGGTCACCTTCTGTGGTTCATGGAAGAGTTGAGAGAGATGAAACGGGTTAAGAGACATCTGGAGTTCTGCTGGAGTTCAGTGGGGAGTGAACTCGACTGAACACGGGTGAGAGCTGCCATTAAAGTCTACCTTCTGGCAGTAAGGGCAGCAAAGCACCAGTACTTCTCTGCTCTTATTGTGTCTGCAGATAGCCAACCAACAGCCCTATTTAGAGTGACCAGGGCTCTCCTGGGTAGTGGAAGTCCTGAGGTTCACCTTCAGGGCCATGCCGAAGAATTGGCAGAGCACCTGTCGGACAAAATGGTTCAGATTTGCTCTCAGTTGGACAGTAGCATTTTTACAGGTCCTGTGGAGATGCCTGGGGTGCAGTCTTGCCCTGTTATCTGGGAACGATTTGAACCTGTTGGACCTGAGGAAGTGGGCAGGGTCCTTATGACTGTGAGTTTGGCCGCTTGCTCTTTAGATCCATGCCCACCTCACTGACTAAGATGACATGTGGGTGGGTTCTGGTGGTGGTGAATTCATCCTTGAAAGAGGAGGTTGTTGGTTTGTCCCCTCCTCAAAAAGTCATCGCTGGATCCCACCATAAAGAACAACTTTTGTCCAGTGTCCAACCTTGTTAGGGAAGGTTGTAGAGAAAGTGGTCATGCAACAGCTTCAGAGGATCCTGGATGAAGCAGATTATCTGGACCCCTTTCAGTCAGGATTCAGGCCCAGATATGGGACAAAATGGCATTGGTTGCGCTTTTGGATGACCTCTGGCAGGAGCAGGATGGAAGCAGTGCATCTATCCTTGCTCTACTTGACCTCTCGGCTTTCAGTACCATCAACCATGGTATCCTTCTGGACCGGCTTCGAGGGTTGGAAGTCAGTGGCACTGTATTGTGCTGGTTTTCTTCCTTTCTCTGAGGCCAGTTCCAGTCGGTGTTGATTGGGAGCAAGAAGTCCCACTGTTGGTCCCTTCTACGTAGGGTGCCACAGGGCTCGGTAATTTCTCCACTCCTATTTAATATCTACGTGAAACTGCTGGGTGAGATCATCCATCACCATGGGGGAGGTATCATCAGTATGCTGATGATACCCAGCTATACATCTCTGCCCCTGGTGAGCTAAGTGATGCTGTTGATATCCTTTCTTGGTTCCTAAAGGCTATGGGGCCTGGATGGGGAACAACAGATTTCAGCTGAACCTTGGCAAGACTAAGTGGCTTTGGGTTTTAGGGCCTTCTGTATCTGGGGATTTACCATATTTGGTGCTGGATGGGGTTGCACTGCCCGAAACAGTGCACAGCTTAGAGGTTCTTCTGAACTCATGACTCCTGCTCGAAGGCAGGTGGCAGACATGGCCAGGAGGGCCTTTGCACAGCTTCGTGTTGTGTGCCAATTTCACCCATTCCTGGATCAGGAGGCTCTACTCATGCCCTAGTCACCTCCTGAATGGATTACTGTAATGCACTCTACATGGGGCTACCCTTGAAGAGTATCTGGAAGCTTCAGCTGGTGCAAAATGTAGCAGTGCAGGCAGCTATGTGTGCTTCAAGATCTGCACACATTACACCTCTGCTACGTGAGCTGTCAGTTTGCTTCCGGGTCCAATTCAAGGTTTTGGTTATAATTTTTAAAGCCCTACATGGCATGGGACTGGGATATCTGAGGGACCACTTCTCCCTGGTTACATCTACCCATCCCATCAGGTCCGGTAGGAGAGGCATGTTACAGGTCCCATTGGCTTAGGAATGTTGTCAAGCGGTGTAATGGTATGTGGGAATGACCTTAGGAGGCTGAGGATGGGGAGAGATGCTGCCTAGGGAATGATCAGATAAGAGACGGTGGGGATAAGCCTGGAGAGTTAAGTCTGGGGAATTCCACTGCCAACCCTGAGATGGAGTCAAGGAGCTCAGGTAGGGAGGTTGCTACACAGCAGGGAGGATGGTATAGTAGTAACAATCCCAACTTAACAATCCCAACTTAGAGCCCAACTTAATGACCAGGGTCTCACATCTGGTAACTTGTAAAGCAGCACCCCTGAAAGCCATCAGAGAGTCCCAGATAACAATCGCCACACCCCCACCCTCGGGTCTTGGCTGATGCCACACCTGAAACCCAGCTGGGCACATTTCCGAGAGGGGAATTCCCCTTCCAGACGAGCCAGGTCTCAGTAATGCATGCCAGGTCAGCCCTCTTATCTGTGATCAAATCACGAACGAGGGAGGCTTTATTACAGATTGACCTGGCATTTAGCAGCAATTGCAGTATGCAGAGTTATGTATACAGTGAGGCAAAAAAGTATTTAGTCAGCCACCAATTGTGCAAGTTCTCCCACTTAAAAAGATGAGAGAGGCCTGTAATTTTCATCATAGGTATACCTCAA